AGACATTCTTGATGGACTAAAGAAATAGTAAAAGCCATCTTAATTTGAAAGGCGTACGAGTTTGGTGAAACTGGATGGCCGCCCCATTTCAGGTTTGGTAAACCTGTAGAATAAATACCACTTAATATATAAAAAAGCTCACGCACCTAAACTAGGAAGTTTGGAAGCTGCATTATTTTCTTCTGTTGAACAGTTAGGTGTATCTTCTTTCTGTCAAAAAAAAAAAAAAAAGAAAAAAAGACAACAAATTAAAATGAAAGAAAAAGAGCTAATTAACGTACTCATATATGACGTTCAAAAACTTGATCAATTAATTAATATATCTTACATGAGAAAAAATAGATTGATTATTGAAGATGTTGTTAAGGTGTATTATCTGTCTCACATCACAACTCTGAAGAGAAGTGACTAAGTTCTAAAAACCACTCCACTCATTGCCAATTGGTTTTGAGATGAGAGCCTAAAGTACTTATATCACTTCAGCATTGACTCGTGGACTATTCTATTCTTGTCATGGTCTAAGTCTATTGGGCAAAAAAAGTTTAAAGACCCATTGAATTTGAGGGAGGGTGTTAAGGTGTATTAAGTGAATATGTATATCACTTGAGCGTTGATTTGTGGGTTATTCTGTTATTGTCCTGATCCAAGTCCATTAGGCAAAAAAAAGTACAAACACACATTGGATTTGAAGGAAGGTGTTAAGGTGTATTATCTGTCCCACATCGCCACCGTGAAGAGAAGTGAATTTGTATATAAGTTCCAAAGACCATCCCACTCATTGCTAATTGGTTTTGAGATGGAACCCCAAAATACTTATAGACTTTAACAGATGTATATAAAATGTGAGTATACACTATCAAATGTGACAGAGTAAATTTAAAGGTACAATATTTCGGTTCGTACAAACACTTTAGTGAAATATTAATTAAAGGACAGAGTAAATTTAAAGGTACAATATTTCGGTTCGTACAAACACTTTAGTGAAATATTAATTAAAAACTTCGCACAAGTAGTTTTGTTACATAAAATGTAATGTAAGTTTTTCCTTTTTTAACTGTAATATCTTGACAAATAATTAATTACTCATCAAATTCATCTTACCTTACATTCACTCAATAGCTAACATTTACATTAGCAATTAGTCATTAATTGATATGTAAAGTGCGATACAAATGGGAGTAAAATTTAGTACTCTATTTTGATTTGACTTGATTTTGGGTCACTCTCTTGTAATTACTAGGTTAAGAAAAAATTAGACCAAAATACTGACGTTACAGCAGAATCATAGCACATCACTTCAAGAGCTCATAAAACTATGATGTGATTAGGAAAGATTAACTATCGTTTTTACCATACACTGGTTTTTCACATGTCTTGGAATCGGGTTAATTCACAAAATTATAGTGACTTAAGTACATCAGGACAAAAATTACCAGAGTACGATTATTTTGATGGATCCGATGTTAATTATATCAAAGCTAACTTTGACTAATCTTTGACAGGTGATCAAAGACAAAAGATACTCTCAATCACATTGGGTAAACTAATTAATTTGGATATTCACAAATCGCAGCGTCATACCCGGGCGGATTAGAATTTTTATTTAAAAAATAGTCATCTTCCGAACTATTTTTAGTTGGTTAAGAACAGGGTTAAAAAACCTTAATTAATTTAATTTATCCAACCAAACCCACGAGTTACAAGGGCTTGCAAGATTTTTTGGTCAACCAATCTAAAATCTCTGGTAAGTACAATGTGGTCCGAATTAAAATAATTGATGACAAAAGCTAGCATTTTATGGACCACTAATCCAAATATATCTCTTCCCTTTTAGGCAAGACTTGAACACATTTACGATGCGTAGATACATTACATACGATAAGTAAAATGAAAAAAGAATATGTCTCCTACTAAAAGGCTATAATCAAAAGAAATTTGCCAGCTAAATTAACTGGTTGATTAATTTCCAGAGAAAAATATACTGAGTAGTTTTTGGATTAATTATGTAATTTTTTATGGTACTCCCTCTGGTCCTTAATATAAGACATTTTGATTTGTCCTAGGTTTAACATAATATGTATTTTTAATTGACAAAAAAAACCTTAAAAATGTTTCATAACAATCAAGAGAATACCACGAACGTGAAAATATATTTTTAAGATTTTTTCGTTAATTGAAAATACGTATTAGGTAAAACTTAAGACATAATCAAAATGACTTATATTAAGGAAAGGAGAAGGAAGTATTACTTTTGTTCCATACATAGTAATTTAATGTCTTAGTTTAGATCAATTAAGTGAACGAAGAATAAGAGAGGAAAAATGAGATGTTAATTGATATGCATATTTGTCGTACATCAAGTGTTTTTGTCTCTAGCTATTATCTTGGTTCATCTAGTTTCACTTTTCGCTGTACTTTTGACGTCGAATAGGAATGCTTTGCAACAACAAATTTACTTGATATAGCTGGAAAGATGCATCAAATCAAAGAAAAAGAAAGTGAAAAGAAGGGGTAAATTCTTCAAATTTTCCCAACTAAAATTTCATCTGAAAAAGTATTCATCATGAGTTAATGACTCGATGACTACTGTTATTTAGCGTAGGTAAGAAATATATAGATCATACTCATTGACTTGGGAAGAAGGTAAATTGGATTCGATTTGATATATGAGTTAATAAACTTTCTAAAACTTAATTAGTTTAATATATTGCATGATCTTAAAACTGACAAACAACAGGTAATTATAGTTGTAATTAAACTCAACAAGACGACAACTGACTAAATCCAACTTCAAGGTAGATATGTTGAACTAATCCGAATATCCAAATGTAAATATACTACTCCCCCGTCCCATAATTATCGTCCAGTTTTATTAAAATGAAAGATTTTATTTTTGGTCAAACTTAATTATATTTTACCTTAAACAACCGGATATACCCCTATATAAGTAATTGTTTAACTACTAAGATTTTATGGATAATGTTTTTTACTAAGGACAAATGTGTAACTTGATTCATAAAAAGTCAAATTGGACAATAATTTTGGGACAAAATTTTTTGGACAAAGTAGACAATAATTATGGGACGGAGGGAGTATTTTGTTCGTGCATATTTGTAGCGCAAAGTTTATTTTTAAATTTTTTTAGCCTTCTTAAATAAGATCGAGTATTATACTCCCTCCGTCCCATAATTATTGTCCTGTTTGAGTTTTCATTTCTAGTTCAAATTGTATTAAAAGTGAAATCTTAAACTGGACAATAATTTTGGGACAGAGGGAGTAGAATAATGTAAAGTATGGCTTCATACAAATGTTTGAACGTTGAGTTGGCGGCTTTTTACCCGGAAAAAAATTGTTTTCTTCTCTTTTCCCGACGAAATAAATTTTTATAATTTAGCGAGAGATATTAGTTATTATTATCGACAGTACATACCCAATAAACATGGGAAAAAAAAAAAAAGAAAAGCGAAGAGCAAGAAAAGGGAAGCACCAAGGACGTAAAAGAAGAAGGATAAGGAAAAGTAATCACAATGCAACAAGCAACCATGAATAAGCAGCTTAGCTAATGCTCAACCGAATGTCTCTCAAAATTGCCTTATTAATTCCACGTGTTATTACTGAAATGTAAAATATGTTCACCAAAAAAAAAATGTTAAAAAAAATATTCATTCCTTCATTATCCTCATTTCGATGGATCGGTCAAGTAATAGCGTGCAATAATTTAATATGTTTTATTCATTTTTCAAGTCGTAAATTTGAACTAAATATGCTACTAACGTTTATATATATATATATATATATATATATATATATATATATATTTCTCCAATTAACTTCTTTGCGGTGAGACTCATGAAACAGCGACAACGCCGGTTTTCTTATTTAATTTTTTTTTTTTTGTATATATGATTGTGGTGAAACGTTCTTCATCCTGAAATTCAATTAGATTTTTATATGTATTTCATCAAACCTTTATCATCAACTAAAAGGGTCTAATAAAACATTGAATAATTATATTGACATGAATTAAAAATTGTAGGAATGAATATATTGCATATATAAAAATGATGAGAATATCTTTGACGTCCACAACTCTGCCAATTTCGTGCTTTGGCCGTTGCTTCTGTCGACTGTAATGTATTGCACAATTTTCCCACATTTTACGCCTTTAGGTTACCTAATATTTTATTCTTTTTTTGCACAATTCATTTTCACACGGAAAATACTAATAACCCAAAACCAAATAGTAGTAAAAGCCAAAGACGTGATTAATTAATTGATTGACTTCATTCATCAGAAGTTATAGAACCAGTTCAACTCCTCTCGTTTTCAGACACGTTATCTTGTTTGTATGATAATCTCCATGAAAAGATAGAACAAGAATGCTGAAAATTCAGGATATGTTTCTTTGTTTTACTTATCTAAAAAGAAAGGAAGATCCCTCTTATTATTTCTTTCTAATCCTAATAAGAAAAAAAAGATAACTTGGGGGAAAACCACCTTTATAACTAATCACATTTCTTTCTTTTTTATTTTTTTGCCACAAAAACTGATATTTTGTATCATACTGTTAATGTGTCCATTTTACTTTCTCCATCTACATATTGTTATAGTTCAACATCGAAAACAACATTCTGTAAATTGGTATTAATATTATGAAATTTTGCATATAGTATGAAGAAAATTTGTAGAACTGGTCAGTGAATAATCCAGTCAATGATACGATTTTTACATTGATAAAAATTATGATCTAATAAATTAAAACACTGATTCACTCAATGATACGATTTTTATATTGATAAAAATTATGATCTAATAATTAAAACACTGATTATTATTTAACTATTTAAACATGATATACTACGTAATTTTTATTATTGGTAATTTACAAATTTCATTGAACTTATTACAAGATTTTAATCTTGAGACTTGAATTAAAAGTCTTGTCAAAATACAATACTAATAAGGAGGGAAAATTTTACTATTATGATAATACTATAAAAATAAAAATGATGAGGAAGGTCAGAAAAAAATTGTATGAACCTGAAATTTTGTTCTTTTCAATTTCGTGAAAAAAAAATGGGGAACAAAATCCAGTGCAAATTATATAAGCAAGCTTTGGTTACATATTAAACCCGACATAAAAGTTGGCTCTGATCTTATTCCACTTCCTTCCCCTCACTCAAACCGGATTCCTCTACACACACACACACACACAGATACACCTCAAATGTCAGCTTATGAAAATATAATCATTTGTAATCATTTGCCCTTCACCCTTTAGCATACTGTTAATGACTTCCGGCAACGATTTCCCTGGTTAGTTCTTGTCAAACCCTTTAATTTCTTCTGTTGCGTTTGCTGAATTCACTGCTGTTTGCGGATTCCTTTTGTGGTTTCATTGTATTCGAATTTGTGGTTTCATTGTATTCGAATTCTAAATGGGGTGATTTTTTTAATTCTTTTTGTGTGTGGATTTTCGTTAATTTACAGGGCTCTTTTTGTTCTGAGTGTGTATTTTTTGGGGGTGAATTAATGCTGCTGTGTTGCGGTGGCGGTGGCGGTGCTGGCGGTTTAGTGATGTGAAAGGATTTATGAAATGAGTTCTTGGTTTTGTTCTCTGTGGAATTGAACAATTGAAGCTTTTTGGGATTCTGGGCTTTTTTTGAGTTTTTGTTACTGGAAAAAAATGGGTAATAAGTTGGGGCGGAGGCGGCAATTGGTCGATGAGAAGTACACGAAGCCTCAAGGGTTGTACCAACACAAGGATGTGGATCACAAGAAGCTCAGGAAGCTCATTCTTGATTCCAAGCTTGCACCTTGCTACCCTGGTGATGATGAATGTGGTGCTTCTGAATTGGAAGAATGTCCCATATGCTTCTTGGTTTGTTTCTGCACATCCTTTCTTGTTTTGTGGGAGTTCATGTTGTTCATATATATTTGACTTTGTTAATAGTTCTGTCTTTTATCAACAAGAATCAAGTATAGTACCTGTGATTAGGGCCATGTTAATTAACTTCCGGGGATAGTAATTGTTGGGTGGAAAAAAGTATCCATTTTGTTATGGATTCCTTTTTGTGATGGATTAGGGAAATTGGAAAAGTATCCATTTGAGAATTCTCCTGTTTGGTTCTTGTGATGTTCAGTGCTCTTAGTTTTTACTTCGTCGTTGCAGTGTATATCTTTCTTATCGTGTTGTGCATAGGAATGATTCTCTATTACTGTGTGTTTTTTCTTCTTTTCAATCGAGGGATGAAGGAAAAGATAAGCCTGGTTTGCAAGGAAGACTGTGTTTATGTTCTAAGAATAGTGAACTTATTTCGTTTCAAGAACAGATTTGATCAGAGTTAAGGAAAAGATAAGAAGAAAAGGGTTTTGGGTAAAATATCTGGGTGACTTTTAGCAACAGCAATTTTGTATGGATTTAATTTTTCTCTCTTACTTTCCTGGTGAACCATATCTGAAGTTGGCAAGATTGTTACAGCTTACTTGCAAATTTTTGTTAACACTGTTTGTGAATTCTTTGCTTTCTAAGGATAAATTGCATTTGAATTCAAAAAACGTTTCACTCTCTCTTTTTTCTAACTTGACTATACATTTGCAGTACTATCCCAGTCTGAATCGTTCAAGATGTTGCCTGAAAGGCATTTGCACAGGTAAAATTCAATTCATATAGAATTTGTAAGCTTTAATCTTGCACAAGCATTGATTCCGAAAAGTGCAATTAACCATGTGAATCCTTCTAACTGTTATTTTGCTTCAGAATGTTTCTTGCAGATGAAGACTCCTAATTCAACTCGCCCAACACAGTATCCTTGATCATCATCATTTAATTTGCTCTGCTCGTGGTTCATTTGCTCAAGCTCTTATGTACTTCTGTTGTTCTGTTTCGCTGCTTTGGAGCTTAGGAGAGCTTTAGAGGTGTTGTTAGCTTTTGTTTAACTTCAAACGAAATTGTTACCGTATCCCTCAGCTTTGTGACGTGGCCTCATATTCTTGATTTTGTAATTTGGTTTTATCCGATGGGGTTGGGGAAAAGTGTTATGGATTTTCTGGAAGTTGTTGTCTAGAAAATATTTTTCTTGTGTTCCTTAATTTTATCAGGTGTCCATTCTGTAAAACCTCAAATTATGCTGTGGAATACCGGGGGTCCAAAACAAAAGAGGAAAAAGGATTGGAGCAAATCGTAAGACTCTTTGAATTTCCAGACCTTATTATTTCAATGCGTTATATGCAGCCACTTAATGCACTTGCTACTAATGTATGTCTTCAGGAAGAACAGCGAGTTATCGAAGCCAAAATAAGGATGAGACAGCAAGAACTCATCGATGAAGAGCAGAGGAATCTGAAATGCAGAGACGTTAGTTCTTCAAACAGTACCGTCGGAGCAATTGAGACAGCAGGTAGTTATTGAAATTCGCTTATCTGTCAAGTTCATTTAACTGCTTAGATTCTTTAGCAATCACTTATGTATTTTCTTCTACAGCTCCATCATATAATTTAGTGATGGAGGGTTCTGCTGTGGAAGGTGATGAAATTGTTGCTTCTCAGGAGTCATGTACGGTGCCAGTTACCAGATCAGTTCGTCCAAGGCAGAATAGGTAAGCTTTTTGCAAAAAGGTCGCTGAAAATAAACACGATGCCATGCATCATATTAGTTAGAGTGATAAAGAAGACTGAGAGCATAAAGAAGATAGCGGGCCTGCCCTCTGATATTGCGATATTTGAATAGACTGAGAGCATGGATTTGAATGTTGGGTTGAGAGCATCGATAGTTGAAGAATTTATTTGCCATTTTAAAAGAGGGAAACTTGAAGTGTCATAAGTGTTGGATGTGGGTTTTGAATTTGATTTAGTCTTTGAGTTTTTTTTTGGAAAAGAGTCTTTGAGTTATTTCTTACTTGAAATCATTCTACTCTTCACATTTATGAGCATGTTCTGTCTCTCTCTCTCTGTGTGGTCTTTGAGATCCTCATTTGTTCTCCTGTATGTTGCCTGTCTTTAGGAGTAATGAGGTACCTAATCAACAGTGACATTAAGATTACTTGCATTCTACATCCCCTTATTGCCTCTGTTTTCTCTTTCTTTTTTTTTTTTTGAAGTTCCAGGGAGGATGAATTTGACCTGGATCTTGAGGACATAATGGTCATGGAAGCCATTTGGTTGTCCATTCAGGTAGGAGTTTTGGTGTTATGCTTTGCTGTTTATATTCTTTTATGCATTTGTAAAGTTGTTCTTGCTTCAACTTTTGATAAATTGAACCACGTAACCATTAGAAAAGGACTGGTTCAAACCATTATTGTTCTGCATGTGCATAATGAATATCTTCAGATCTGTCGGCTTTCTGAAACTTTTATTGATGGCTTATGATTCATCGAGCACTTTTTGTCCATTCTTTCCATATACTGCCTATGTTCACTTGCAGATTGTTGGATTTGAAATTGTCCTCTACCCTTCTTGGCACAACCTGCTCTATTGCTGTTTTTGACCTTGTCGACTGATCTTATTATATTTTATCACCATCTGTTAGCCTTTGGGATTAAGATTCAAAGTCATCTGCAATCACTTATCCGGTTCCCATGTTTACAGGAAAATGGCAGACGGAGGAATCCAGTCTACGTTGAGCCAGCTCCAGAGGAACAGTATGTGGCTGAAGAGCAGTGCAGCTCGGCATCAATGGCTCCAGCTGCAGGATCTTCCTCCTCCCCTTCTGGCGGTCTTGCATGTGCCATTGCTGCTCTGGCTGAACGCCAGCAAATGGGTGATGAGACCTCCAGTAGCTATCAAGCAAGCATGTCTGCGTATAACATGATGCCTGGATGCTCGGATCGTGATACAGTGCATTTTCCTGCAATGGGGAGTTCCGTTGAGATGTCGCCTGATATGCAATTGCCAAATGCCACAGGTGATAGGGAGTGGATTGATGATAATAGATCAGAGATTGCCGATGTGGGAACCAGCTATGCGAGTTCTGATGATGTAGCTCAAACATCAATTCATCATGAAGATGAATCTGGCAATTTCCAGCCAATGGGTGGTCCTATTGTTCCCGAGAGCTTTGAGGAGCAGATGATGTTAGCCATGGCTGTTTCACTGGCTGAAGCTCGGGCCAGAGCGAGCCCACCTGGAGCCGCATGGAACTAGTATTGCTCTCTTTCCGCTCGTCAAGTGACAAATGCTCTGTTCAGTGGCTGGTGTAACTGATTCCGGTGATTGTGGCCGGTGTCTGCTATGGTTGAAAGAGCAAAAGAATTGCAGCTGCGACGGCTTGTGATATTATGTTCATCTCATCATCTTTTAGCTTTGACCATGGCAATGTTACCATCATATCAAAATGGCTTGGTGTTGATCTGTTCCCCCTTGTTTTTCATATAGTATTGTGTTCATAAGTAGTGATCTGGTCCTCCAAATTTTGTTGATAATTAGTGCTTCATTTTCCAAATGGTTTTACAAAACAGTGAATTTGAAAGGGAAATATGGCTGGTGCGGGTTGGAGAAATTGAATTTGGGCCTGAACTATTGGGAATCTAAGGAGAGAGAGAAAAGAGAAATGGTTCGAGCCCATGTTTTCCGAACGAGTGACCACGCTGGGCCAAATTTTCCTAGGGCCGTTGATGTCTACTGACCTGCCTGATTAGACATTCTTCCGTGATCATTCATGAAGATAGAAGAAGATTGAAAATAGGGGACTAAAATTTTTTAAAAGAAAATGAATAAACAAAAAAAAAGGAAAAAAAGATAGAAGATATAAGATTTAAATAAACATAATATTTGCATATACTCAAGAATGATTAAATTTTCATTTCGATCTAATTTTTTGAAAGCGATAAGTTTATTTCAAGAAAGGGGGGAAAAAAAAATGGCCGGGGAGAGGAGAACTAAAGAAACACTCAGCCACAAGTCAACATCCAAAAATCAATACTGAAAAGAAGCTCTAAAATCAATCAAGTTGTTGCGATTCCTTGTTGAAGATGGCAGTAATTTATTTAAGTACGAAAGGAACAATAATTCCCGTGATTGATGATGATTCATAAATATACGCTAGCTCCCCATTCACTCCTCACATGAAGAATTATACTTCTGTGTGTGTGTGAGTGTGTTTTTTTTAATTAAAAAAAAAAAGAAGAAATGAGTTCTATTTGCTAAATATTTATAGTATGTATTGATATTATCTCAACAAATAATATTTCCTAATTATATACTACATGTTTATTTGATAATCTACAAGAAATGATAGCACCAAGTCTGTTAAAATGAAAATGTTAGTAAATAAGTGGAATACAAAATGTGAGACGGATATATTATACGTTTACGAGGGAGACAAGACAACATTGAATATAAACAACACAAATGGTACTCGTATAAGAGAGGGGGACGTTTGGGTGGCGGGAGTAGTTAGATTCACATTTAAGCTCACATGCGATGTTGTTGTCCTCAAAATCGCATACAAGATCCGGTACCTACCTCCATCGGTTTCACATTCAATTCAATGGAGTCCTCCTATCACCACCCTATTAATATTCCATTCATTCTGAAATGATAATCCAATTCAGATCTTTAAATTGTACTTCAAGTTATAAAAAAAAACATTAAATCAAACAAATATTTCATAACAAAATAATAATCTAAACTAGACAATCACTTCAGAACAGAGAGCGTACTACTTTCCCGTTTATATTTCTCCATTTCGTGAATGAATCTATGCAGAGTAGATATTCATCATCATAGTTCATTTTCTTAATTCTCTCTAGCCTCTATCATTTTCACTAAAACAGTTTGGTTGCTTAAAGCTTTTTCACTTTTTCACTCTTTGAAAAAAATGAAAATAAAATGTTTAACTGGGAATGCAGAGTCAAAACGATCTGTTGTTGATTTTGTAAGTCTTAAGGCAGAAAGTGATTTCCCACATGTTCAATGATGAGAACACTTAGAACCTGACTTTTGTATTTTTCACTTGCTAATCATTGATAGAGATATAATTTGGTTTTATACTCATCCAACTTTTAAGTTCAATCTTCTTCTTTTTTTTTCCAAAAAAAAAAAAAAAGTTTTTACGTTCAGTAGAATGAATACATTAATCATGCTAAAGCAAACAACTTTTAAAAGTATATGTCATGCCTTTTCTCAGGCAAAAATGTAGATTTTTAAATATAAGATGGAAAACAGTAGTCTCAGAGTTCTTTTACGATATATAAACCATAAAGCCAAAATAAATGCTTTCAAATTATGGTATGCAATCAAGTTAGCACATGGTGGAGATGTTCAACTTGGATATTTTTTGCTAAAAGGAGTCATTCATGCAATAGAATTAGACTAAAATCATCTCTACTAAATGGTTCAGTAAAGGATCAATTTTATTTTTTTTTTATTTACAAGAAAATAACTTTAGCTGTTAAAACATCAATCGAACCATTTTGTCGAAGAAGAAATGTGATGGGTGAAATTAGGTTCCCCCCCTTTCAAGGATCTAATTTTGGATAGCTGGTGACTGAATTAAAACCCAATGATTGATTTATAATTTGGTCTTGCTAAACTGTGGGTTTTCCCATACCTAATACTTCAACTTCAATATTTTGGATCCATATCAAGGAATAAATACATGTGACACATTACAAAATTCGTCAAATTAATCAGCTTTGCATCACTATCATTCCCACAATCCTTGTGCCAGCCTAGAGGTATCCTAGGTATGGAGAAATATAAAATTTCCTAACATAGTATGGCCATTCTTTAATTACAATATAAACAAGATTTGGGTTTATGATCCAAATCGTGGTTCAAATTTATGTGATTTTATTTATCTCGAAATGATTGTCATATTTATTATACTTAATAATATACAATTTATTACACATGGAATCCCTTTGAAGTAGGAGACATGGAATTCCAGTAACATTTATCATGCCCATTCTTTAAAAATGGTAACTGTAAAACAAATCCATTGAACTAGGAGACATGGAATTCCTTTTGGTCTTCCGATTGTTCAAAGTTGTGGATCTTCAAGATTGGCAATTGCATTGGTGTACTAAAAATAAAATCTAAAAGGCCACTAAGACAATGATCACTGTTATCCAGATAGGCTTCGAGAAAACAGCCTGTTGTAGAAACAAGAAAATGGTTTGAAAAGAAGCAAAAAGACGAGAGTTTGATTATAAAAACGAAAGATATAGTTCAACAACTCGGATTTGCTCACATTTATTGTCCCAAATTTCTAGTGTGCATGTCTTACAAATGTGGAGAAATCACTTAAATGGTCACTCAATATCAACTCTAGTTACATTCTAGTTCCTTATTTTTTTATTATAGTCCATTAGAGTCCTTAAAATTCAATAATCAAAACATATTGAATCGAAAATCAAGAAAAGCGTTCCAATTAAGTTATTTGACTAAACCCCACATCATTTCTTTGGTGAACCATAATCATAAGTTTCTGATCTTTTTATTTCGTTCGCGCATTTCATAGATAATATACCGTAAGAGAGGATAAGTACATAAGATATATACGTCTACAACTATACATTGTAATCCTATAATATGATTATTATGACAGTCGTGATGCAACAAAATTGGCCCGATGAATACATTTAAGGGAGTAATATGTACATTTCATAAAGTTAGGAACAAAAACAGACTGTGAACCAAGAGTTGAAGGGCCAACCGGCAATTGACTTAAATATCTTTGTCTTCTTCCTCGAGACTACTTTTGCTAATGAACAGTAAGTACTCTCTGCAAGTTGAAGTCATTTCTCATTTGTACCTTTCTGTGATTTTAAATATACATATAGAGAATGTTGTTTTACATTTATCCCAGCAAATAATGGCTAACAATTTTAATAATAATATTATTTCTGAGAGTTATATAGTAAAATCAAACACCCAATTTATCCAATGTCACATAATGCCTACACTATTCAGCCATTCAATAATGGCGTTCACACAGCCCCACACAACCCACCAACGACTTTAATTCAAAACTTCAAACTTTTCAAACGTCTCTCTCCTCTGAAAACTGAAATCTTCTGCAGCTTTTTTCTTTGTTTTGTTTTGTGCTAATTAAACTGTCATTTTTTTACCGCTTCAGAGCACTCGTGGTTTGAAAAAGAACCCATCTTTTTATATATTTTCTTTTGCTTCAATATGAGATGCTGCTTGCATGCTTCTTGTATAAATGCTGCATTCTGCCCTTTAATCTAAAGTCCTTTTTTTTCTTCACTTTTTCTTGTTGGGGAAAGAAGAGTTTCTCTTTCACCTTTCTCTGTTCTTTGCTTATATCAGTAAAGTAACAAACTTTAGTGGAAGGATATTCATCACCTGATCAGATACTTGATGACTTCTGGGATATAATAATAATCAAAGGGTATAATTCTGTTCTCTTATATCATCACATTTTTTTCTTTGTTTATTTGCTGCTTCATCCTGCTTTCCATACGTTTTGGGTTTAAATGGTTCAACAAGAAATGTCTGCTAATAGCTGTTTTGAGATGGGTCTCAATCTGAAGTTTTGGGTATGGGACATTTTGGATTCTACATTGTTGGTCTGGCCGTTTGATGTCCTTAATTCTAAGATCTAACTGTTAGTTTTGTGACTATGTATGGTGGTTTGTACTAGTATGTTGATTTCTCTTTTTTGTGTGCTTTCTAGTCTTGATTAATGTAAACATGTTTTGATTACATTTTGATTTGAAGTTTCAATTCAGCATCCAGTTTTGTCTGTGGCCTATGGTTAAAATCTCCCAGGTTTTTACGGTGAGGGAGTTTTTAGCTGGATTTGTGCTGTCTGTTTTTGTACTTTTAAACTTGAAGGTTTTCTGTTAATGTCTTGGTATCAGTACATTAATGTTTGGATCATTGGTAAGAACTGAAGGTTTAGATCTCCTGTGCACTTGATTTTGATGTGATTTTTTATGAGAAATCATGTGCAGCAAGCTCCGTTTGCTCTGTCAATTTGCAAATAAACCGTTTTTCTTTTTCTTTTTTTTTTTTTGCGGATTTTGGATTTGAAAGGCTATCTATTGGTTATCTTTTTCCTTATTCATGACACCATTTTGCTTGGTACACCACCTCTTTAAATTCCTTATGCTCGCATTTTGTTTCTTGAGGAATTCCTTGGTGAAGCCATTGCAATTTATACATGACAAATGTGTGTACTCAGAAACTGCCATACGGTGTAATGTTTTGCTGAATTAGTTTGAGCACAATTGACCGCAGATTGTAAATTGCATTTGTTTACCTTCAAGTTTATGTACCTCTGGCTCAGATGTCTAATTCAACTTTCAATGATTGCAGTTTTTATACGTGCTTCTGTAACTGTCCTGCATTGTGCAGCTTGTGATCCATTGACCTCTGAGCTACATCCATTATAATTCCCAAGAGTCAGTTGTTCTCGTATCGTTGAGATGCCAAGATCAAGGTGATTTTCTCAAATTATGCTTTGCCTTTTTCTAATCTGATGTTTCACCTCTTGAATACTGCTGACAATGATTTTTCTTTGCCACAGTGGACCAGAAATGCCTCCGCGGCGTTCTCCTCGGGGGCCATCTCAGTTGAGGACATCAAGCTCTGATCCTGAGTCAATGCATCATAGAGCTACCGGTGATAGTAGAAGCCCTAAGCTGGGAGGCGATCGACGATCACCAAGGGGTCCCCAATCTGAAACTGTGAATCAAAAGAAACTTGGAACAAGAATTGCAGACTTGGAATCTCAGCTTGGACAAGCTCAAGAGGAGCTGAAAAACCTCAAGGGCCAACTGGTCTCAGCTGAGGCTGCCAAAAAAGCAGCACAAGAACAACTTGAGAAGAAATCAAAGAAGAAACCACTTTCTTCGGCGCCAGCAGAGATTCAAAACAAAATCGTCTCTGAAATGCAAAATCCAGCACCCAATAGAGGAATTGAAGTTCCTGAAGATAACCAGCCAGAGACTGATGTTTTTGAAGTTCCTATGGAGAATGTGACTGTTCAACCTCAAGAGCTAAACGGTGATGACGATCTCAAAACGAAATCTCAACTTTCACCAACATCAACCGTTTTGGAGGCAGAAAAGCCACCTTTTGATGAGTTGGCTCTGAAAAATGGTGAGATAACCGCATTGAACACCAAGTTAACAGAGATGGAGAAAGAGCTAGAAGTTTCTGTTAAAGAAAATGAAAGCTTAAAGAGTAAGCTTGAAGAAAAATCTCTGGAGGTATCAGCATCTCAGCTGAAGGAGGCTGAAACAAGGAATAAGTTAAATGAAGTGACAAAGGAGCTAGAAGAAAGTAAGAACAATGCTGTTCAGATTAATGAGAAGCTAGACGCAGTTGAGAAAGCAAAAGAGGAACTGGAAACCGAGATGAAGAAGCTAAGAGTACAAACAGAACAATGGAGGAAGGCAGCTGATGCCGCTGCGGCAGTGCTTTCAGGAGGTGTTGAAACGAACGGCAGAAGAATCTCTGAAAGATGTGGATCCATGGACAAGCAGCACTTTGGCAGTGTTTTTGAAGCACATGGAGGAGGATATAATGGTTACATGGGTTCTCCAGGCATAGGGGAAGATGGTGATGATGTATTTGGAGGCGGAAAACGTAAAGGTTCTGGCATCAAGATGTTTGATCTGTGGAAGAAGAAGGGTCAGAAATGAGGTCTTTGTGGAGATTGTGTAACCTCATTCAGACATTATGTCTTTTATTGGCTTGCAAAATGATGGTAATACTTACCATTGTTAGTTTGATCGCCCAAACATAAAACCAAGGGCAGTGCGCCAATATTTTGTTCTGCTCTTCTGCTCCATGCTGGAAGTGATGTTAATCTGTTATAGAGCTCTTGTATTGAATAGAGACCTGCATTTTCGGTAGTTATTTTTGAACTTGCGAAATGGTAAATTATCTTTAGTTATTACTACTGAATAAAACTATTACTCCTTCCGTCCCGAAAAATTATTGTCTAGTTTGGATTTTAATTTTTAATATAAATAGAACAAAAATGAAATCCAAAACTGAATAATAATTTTGGGACAGAGGGAATAGAGTACATATTACATAATGAGGAATAAGGTGAATCTTCCAGGTTTATGCAGCTACAGGAATTGTGAATTGGACAACATATGCAAAAAAACACAGCATTATAAAGGAAGAAGAATTACAGTACAAACTTGATGGGTAAGATAAATGGCAGATTTCCTCAACTGAATCTGGAGAAATTTTTTCATGTTTTACGTCCAAGCAAACTTCTTTTTTAAAAATTGAAGCGGGGCACAATACATTGTTTCATCAAGCAACCGTAACTTAACAACTGCTATTTCCTTTTCCATACTGGGAACTATTGTGAAATCACCCAGCTAGGGGGAATGTCTTCTGCAATGAGGTTGCTTGATCAGAGATTCCGAATCCGTACTAAACCATTGGAAGTCTAGTAACAGGTGTTCCTCCTATAAGAAGTAATAAACATTACAAAATGTACAACTAGTCATCTTCTTCACTTTCATATTGTTGAAACAATGATTGCAGTCCATTTCCAGAGGTTGAATTTTCGACCGTCTCTTGCTTAACTTCATCACCTTCCTTCTTCGTGTTGCCATTTGAAACAGTAGAAGCAGAAGATTCTTTCTTCTTAACAGAAACTGTCACGGTTGAAGACTTGAAAAGAAACTTTTTCCCATTTGATGAGCCAGGAACATCAACTTTATCTGCTCATAACAATAAAATAAAGAACTTTGTAAATCTTCAGAATTGAGAATACAGATACATTAGAAAAAAAAAAATAGCAAGAAAAATGGTCAGATCAGGTGTACAAACCTTTTCCAAGTGGATTACTTTTTATTAATTCATCAGTTGGGTTGCTTGCTTGTTCGTGATCCAGTTTTGCCCTCTGCATTACAGACAAGTTAAGATTCAGTATTCCAACTCAACGTTTATATCATGGGATTATGAAAGTAACTTCTCTCAGATCAAAAGACAACAGAATTATAATAATCAACCTTGCAAAGTTACTTTGTTTTGCCATGTCAACAAAAGCCCAAAAACATAAAAAGAGATAATAAGAAAGATTCCATTGCTGTTGAAAATGTAGACCAAACTCCCTTTTCAAAATTTTTCCAAAACCCTTTCACCTTTAGTTCAACACACAGAATTAATGTGACTGGTGGCAACTACAAGTTAAAGGGAAAAAAAAACCAGAAAATAACATAGTACTTTTTTAAAGAAAAATGACAAATAAAAAGTCACACCTTCGACAAAAAATCAGACCCCTTGGAAGGAATGTCAAAAGCTAATTCTTCATCATCATCGAGGTCTTCGTCATTAATCCTTCGTATAAAACCTTCGCTTGATCCCTGAGATCAAAATGTTTGAATCAGATAAAAATACAAGTTTGCCTCAAGAAAACAGAATAAACTGAAACCATAGGACAGAGGATAAATTGGCAAATTTACTGCTTACCCCATATATGGATCTTATAAGAGCTTCATCTTCTTCATTCAACTTTCTTTCCTGTCAGCATAAGCATTTTAATTACACTTCAAATCCCAATTAGATTAAGAAACTTAATCCAACTACATACGATATAGCACTGAAAGCAAAGACATACATGTTTCCTGCTTAAACATTACATATGTAGTATGTTGTTCAATACTTAATGTGTATCTATATATGAGAGTTCCAAAGCAAAAAAACTGGTCAAATTACACACAGCGGGTTATAAGTAACATCGATCAACCCAATCTGCAAAGGTTCTGTGGAATGCCTTTATTGGAATAAGGGGCCATACAATAGGAACACTGAGCCACAATCTAAAAGAGAATTGGTAGTTTCTCCAGCCCATGTTGGAATAGGAATGTGTATCCATAATCCAATTCTGTGCCATGCCTACATGTTTAGACACTTAACGATACATTACATACCCCATGACCAAACTGTAAAGTTGTTTCACAAAAGAGGAATGCATGTATTGAACCTAAGGTTTCAAAATCATTTCAGTCCAAGTCTAATGATATGAAAGGAAATGCATTAAGGAAATCAAAATATACTTGGAAAAACCAGTTTCCGGATGTATTCTTTTAAATGTGATAGAACATCAGAGCATATTAACATTACCATTAGTCTCACAAACATATTGCAATCATTTCGCAAATCTACAGGATGTAAATTTCAACCATAAAAACAGATAGATTTTAGAAACTTAATAATTAAAGTAAAAACGAGGAAGTTACAAAGACAGGCAAATAGAAAAGAGAATGCATTCAAGACTGAGAACAACAGTATCAGCCCCATACCTTGTCCTCCTTCGAGCGCTGCAGAACTTCAAGCATAGCATCCACGCTGACAGTTGCTTGTCTTGACTGAAAATAGAAAAAAGGAAAATACATAAGGAGAGAAAAGGTTAGTAACCAGATTTCAGGATCCAGCAAAAGCAGCTAGGTTAACATCATGTGCTCATATGTACAGTATGATACATAATTCAAAGAAGAATAAAAAAGGAAGAAAGGATCACCTTCATAGATTTCATTTCATCCAAAGCAGCAATTATATCCATTTCTTGTTTTGAGTCTAGAGTTCTGTTCTCCAATGATTTCATCGCATCTCCCATTTCTTCGGCTTCCCTTTTGCGCTTCTCTTTGTCTACTTCCTGTCAAAATGAATCAAACCATATTGTAAAACTACGTGCACAGCTAATTACACATAAATAAAACCTTTATTTAGTACATGAAAGATAACAGAGGAAGGGTCACCTCATCCTCTGCACGCCAGGGTTCAAAATTCCTTGTTGCACCAGATTCTACGACGTAATCTGAATTTTTTGGATCTGTTTTATATGTGATCTCAGCAGAGCACTTTGTACACTTGAAATAGAAACGGAATATTTGAATCCCCAAGTATGTCTGTCAGAAAAAGAGAAAAAAAAGAAAAAAGCATCATTAATTAGTTCAAGAACCAAACAAACATTACAAGCAAAATCCTCATACAAAATTAACTAGTTCCATCTGATTCAACAGTAACAAAACTCTAAAGAAAAAAACGATGCTGAATAGGAAATTGGTAAACAAATAATTGATAGAAGAATGTAGTCTTTATATCAGGGAAACCATATTTGAAAAGGCTAATTTGAATAATAGTAAAAGGATGCAGAATAACCAAACTCTTTAAACTCCTAATAGAAAACCTAACCCTGAAAACCATAGAAAATCAAAGTATGATGCACTTCGCCGGGGGGCGGGTGGGTGGAAGACAACAATGTGCAGCATCCGAAGCTAAAAAGAGAAAGCAAATGAAACCCAAGGAACAAGATGTAGAACATCAATAAATTTTTGAAGTATATACCTCCCCAATTACATCTTCCTTCCTGGAATTGAACTTGGTACCCTTGTAGATGTAATTCCCGCAAGTGCCACAGCGAATACTCATGGGAAGCATCATCCGGACTTTCATCTGGTGGTTCCTCTCCTGCTTCCGCCGTGGAATCTTCGCCGGATCAAAGTCCGGCGGGTAGTACTTGTTCAGAACTTTACGTTCACCCATCTTTTCCCCTCTTTACCTCCAAGCACAATTCAAACCCTAAATCACAGCAGGAGAAACAAAAAAAAGATTCGATTTTGCTGTGACCGTAACTAGGAGGAGAGGCAAGTCTTTCTAGGGTTAGAAGGACGATGGCGGATCCACTACGGATCGTTCTTCGCTGAAAATCTTGGCTTCGTAATAAAAGAACAAAGGGGAGCTCCTTTATCAAGGTAGTGGTTTCCGCCGGTTTTTGGTCGGCATCATGGCGGTGATTTTATTTTCTTTTGCAGTCATACGGTGTCGTTCTGAACCACGTCATAATGTTTTTTTTTTACTTTAATTTTGATAAATATAAATCTTCTACTATTTTATTTTGTTGAAAATATAAGTATGTAAATAATAATCTCTGTTCCAAAAAGAAAATAATAATAATAAAAATGCATGAGGATCTAAAAGCGAAAATCATAACCAGACTACATGGGAATCGAATTGATCTAAAAACTAAGAGATAAAACTATATAATAATAGAGCAATGATATAAATAGTGAGAAAAAATAGTAAAAATACATAGTACCTGATGTGTCATCAGCAATTAAGGGTAAAAGGTAATTTTTGGGGAAAAAGAAAATTTCAACGGCAAAGTGACAACAAAATAGAGAGTACACATCAATCACTATATTTTCTCATTGGAATCATCATCCGGATATTCATCTGCTGATTCCTTGGTTGCCTCTGCCGTGGAATCATCGCCGGATTAAAGTCCATTGGGTAATTTTCATTCGACAATTCCGGTTCCCACATATTTTTCCCTCTTTCACCTCTACCACAATTGAAACCCTAGACATAATCAGGAGAAAATGAGGAATACGTTTTGATGTGTCCGTAAGAGGAACTCGCCTCTGTTGAACAATATTTAAGCAAGCAAAGTCTCTGATTCTGTTCCTCGCTAATTCTAAAAGAAAACTATTGCAGTTTTGGGATCTTGAATATATATATATATATACACACACATTATATAAAGTGTGGAAGTATTTTTTGTGTATTGTTAAAGGCAGGTTGTAGATTGTAAGCTCTGACGTAGCTAGCTTAGATTGGACCGTCTCTTCTCTTTCTTCCATTTTCTTCCCCTCTGGAGTAACACCTTATTCCGATTGCCAATCTCTCCCCTTCTCTTTCGTGTTTTCATAGCGGACAAACTCCATCTCCAAGACTGCAACACACCATCTTCTGTAGAACTTCACCCCACAGATCGATTTTACTAACATTGACCCTTTCTTCGACTCTCTCTTCAGTCTTTCCTACTTTTGCTCTTTCTACAATTTTGCGAAAGTACTTTTTGTGTACGGTTAAAGGCAAGTTGTGGGTGATAAACGCTGATGTGCTACGTTGCAAATTCTTACTGAACTACAAAAGACTCATACTCTTTGTTTTTTCACGAAATGATTATTATTTTTGAAATTTAAATTTTATTAAAATACATATTTAAAAGCAAGATTTTACTTTCACTAAATATTGTATTAAAAATGAAAATTTAAACGTAATTATTCATTTTATGTTCAAAATATCCCATGTATAATGACTGAATATAAGTTGCAACTTTGTATAATAAAATAGAATTTTATATGTCTTATGTTACTAACTTACCAAAAATATCAAAAAGGTATAAAAAAAGCATAAAGGATTTCCCATGCCGGGACTTGAACCCGGGTCTCTCGGGTGAGAGCCGAGTATCCTAACCAACTAGACTACATGGGAACTCATGACAGTAGGTCAAAACCTACTTTCAAAATAAAAATTATAATTATTATTCCATTTAATTTGTGAACACCCCATACGATGCCGTTGCGAACCCACAAAACAAGCGGATAAAAAAGAATTTCCCATGCCGGGACTTGAACCCGGGTCTCTCGGGTGAGAGCCGAGTATCCTAACCAACTAGACTACATGGGAGGATTTGATTGGAGATGCCTGCAAAATATATATTAATGTGATAAATGAGTGATAATTAATCTTTCCAGGACAAGATCGAAAATTACAGTGGGTGAACCCAGCATTTGATCGTGTAATTTTCAAATGATCACCATTCACCATTATAACTTTGGTACAACTATCTTTTTTTTTTCCCGGAAAAATTGGCCGATCTACCCAAAGGTTAACATGCGTTGTCAATTTTACTCTATTCTTTTTTGGTTAGCCAATATTACCCTAAGCTATCCAACCGTTAGCAGATTTTGTTCAATTTGTCAATTTCTGTTTAAATTAACGGAATTCCGTTAGTTTTAATTATAAAAAAATATCTCAATAGTTTTAAAAATTATAAAAATGACCCCAAAAATTTGTAAAAATAACCAAACAGTCTTTTTTCACTTTTTATTTAATTTTTTCTGTTTTTTATTTCTTTTCACTATTTCTCATAACTATAAATATATATTATATAATCTTTTAAAAAGAAGTTATTTATATTTAAAACACTATTGTGCAAATTTATAGATATTCATATTCGTAACTCATGGTTGATTTACATAAACATATTAATTTTTTAATAATATGGTTTAACATTAATGATATTATTTTTTTAATCTATTTTTTTCAATCTACAAAATAAGATTATTTAACTAAACTTAATTTTTCACAAAAAATAAAACATTTAGCATAGATTAAATTTTTTTTATTGGTATACTTTAATGTATTATTACAATATAATTCAACAGAATTTAGATTGTATTGTAAAATTAAAAAAATAATTAAACTAAAATATACATTTTCTTTAAAAGGCCAAGTACAAACAGAAAGTAAAAAAAAAAATGGTACAAAATATTTTATAAAAAATATGTATATTTATCATTGCGAGAGTTTAACATTTCGTGATAATTTTTTTGAGATATTACCATCTAACTTTAGCAGGAAATTTTTTTAATAATAATAAAAAAATCTGTTCCAGTATTAGACTCCACCTTAAAAAAAAAACAAAAAAGATCGCCTCAGTGAGAATTGAGGCCTCGAACACAGTAATAATCATCTCCCATCTTAAATCACCTGACCATCCAACTCAACCCTCTCACATTTAGTAAACCATGCATAAATGTGGATAAAATCACTCTCCCGGTTAAAAATCCTTGGTGAGAATTAATCTTATATCTACTATCATGAAGCTCAACACCCTAAATACTAGATTGTACACTATATTTTAGTTTAGTAATTTTTTGAATTGGATAATATAATCTATAGTTTGTTTATTCAATTTGTAATAAATTAAAATGTACTAATATATTAATTTTTAATCTATGCTAAGTGTTTACTTTTTTGTAAAAAATTGGTTGTTAGTCAAAAAATATTATTCTTTAAATTGAAAAAAGAATTACAAAAATTAATATCATTATTGTCAAGTTATATAATTAAAAAATTAATATATTTATGTAAATCAACCATGAGTTACAAATATACATATCTATAAATTTGCACAGTAGTATTAAAAAATAAATAGTTTTTTTTAAAAGATCATATAATATATTTTTATAGTTATGAGAAATAATAAAAATAAATAAAAAACAGAAAAAATAAATAAAAAGTGTAAAAAAACTGTTTGGTTATTTTTACAAATTTTTAAGATCTTTTTTATAATTTTCAAAACTATTAGAGTATTTTTTGTAATTAAAACTTACAGAATTCCGTTAATTTAAACGGAAATTGGCCAATTGGACAAAATCGGCTAACGGTTGGATAGCTTAGGATAATATTAGCTAATCGAAAAAGAATAAGGTAAAATTGACAACGCATGTCAACCTTTGGGTAGATCGGCCAATTTTTCCTTTTTTTTCCCCTACAACTAGTCAACTTTCAAGGTAATACTACAAAAATTATGCTTCAACTTTCCAAAAGATGGCATAACTAGAGATGTAGCAACTTCAGCTACTGTGTTTAAAAGTTTCGGGAATAAAGTTTGGGATTATAATGCAAGATGATAAATATTTCTCTCTTGTGCTTACTTGAGTTTTCCATTTCGTTTGTTTTGTGTATTTTATACATCTATGATCTTATATACATCTCTTTTCGAAGTTGTATGGTATTGTCAGTGAGTATAATTTAAACTTCACACACAAAAACAAATTGTTTGGCCATATGTGGGTTTTACGCTTCATCAGAAACTCATTGAGTGCTTTGATTTCTTATCAACTATTTTAACTTTTACCGTAGTAGATAATTAAACAAGCAATACTAACTAATTATAACTGGAGGCGTATTATACTTTTACAGCCATCCTCATAGTTTTCATTCAGCGGTGAAAGTACCAATGACACTTACTACCCGAATAGAAATTTTACTTCCTCGAAGATAGATAAAGAAAATGCAACATCAAATTAAGGCTTGCTAAGCCATTGCTGTGAATCACATTTCACAATAATGTGTTTCCTTTTCTTTGTCCACAATTAGGCCTTGCAATTAGGCCACAATTAGGCCTTGCAAGACATTTTTTCAGCAGTTCTGCTGCAGCACAAAAAGATACACTGACGAGCTGAGGATGACCATATTGAACAGAGACTAGAACGTGATAATTTCTTTAGTCCAACTCCAAATACAAGTTTGGCGGAGCAATTCTTCCAGTAATTTTAACATAAACCTCCTTCACTTCATATCATCACATGATTCGTAGCATCCAACCAAATCCAAATTTCTGACATCATAATATTAAAGGCCTTGCTACAAAAAGGATCTTTAGAAATTGAGTCCAAATCTACAAAAATAAATAATATATCAAGTTCATCCAAAAAACATATGGTTGCCATGAATGCAGTTGTTTGCTCTCTGCCCCCCAACCGCATCACTTGGTCACCTTGTAACTCTGGACAACCAAAAAGATCAAATCCCGGTTAGAATTGTGGCAAGGCATTGGAAAAAGAGAACCGAATAACAAAGAAGCCCTTTAGTTTTCTAATAACTCAACTGTTTTGGTTCAGTACCAATATGCATTTGAGAATAGTAGAACACATGTCAAAGTTCAAAACATATAACTCCATGGATGCATCCAGGATGGCATACCTTTACTCTTTTCAACAGCTCCTTAGCATGGTCATTGTTCTTAAAATGATCACGTACCGGCTGAAACAAATTTGAAGGTGAAAATTGTCAGGTGCTGAACAAACAGAAAGGTTAAATCAAGTTGAATCCAACTGAAGTGGACCACATTATTCCTGCCTATTCTGTACAGGGTATCTTTCTCAAATGATTCGTTCAATTTAACAAGATAAAGGAGATGAGCATTTCTTAAAAATTTCCACTCTCTACATTCGTATCAGTTCGAAAATGGTGGTGTTTCCTTCCAACAATTTCTGTCCCTAGTTTTTGGTATACGGTAAACCCCTATCGAGAAACAAAGTGTAGAAATCTTGTACCAGTTAAGAAGTTAACCAGAGATCCAGATAAATCAAGCATTCAGAACAATTCTATAACCTAAGCATTAAGCAATTCAAGCAAAATCAAATATTAAAATACATCATTCAACAACTTCCATATCCAACTGACACATAAATCAGATTCTCAGATGCAAACATGTACCTGTAAAATTGTGTTCAGTGCTTTCGATAAGGCAGGTTTGAGATCTCCTGGATGCAGCTTACCACTTTCATAGTCAGCCGCCAGCTCTTCAAAATTTTTGTAGATCCTACAGACAGAAGTAATTAAGAATACTGAATGAATGAATTTAGCCACACATGAATGGTGAAATTGAATTCACAATAGGCAACAAAAAGGAGAGAATTATTGTTGCCAACAATTTTCAGGGGGTTGATAACCGAGATGGCTAGATAGCTGAATTGGATATGCCATCAGAAAGAGTGAGAAACTTACATAGAACCGCCATTTTCAGCACTTCGTTCAACCTTGAACTCGTTAAACCAAGGCAAAACTATGTATTTTATGTACTCCAGACAAGGATTGTCAGCTACAATTTGCGGAGGGCAGTATGCCTTTTTAATTTTGACATTTACATCAGCCTGTGACAAATAGTTTTATGCGTATTAAAGAAAGAAATAACAGGAAATAAATATAAAGTTAATTAAAAAAACCAATAAGCAAGCCACTGACTGCATTCAAAATGAAAACATAAGATGATACCTCTTCATCCTCCATGAAGATGGAAGAAGTTGGATCACTCTTTGACATTTTTTCTTGCCCTTGCTGCAGACCAGGCAGCATGTCTACAGATCACAATGCAGCAACAGTCAAGTGTTATTAAGCAGGTAAGATTTTTTTTATGAGGTTCATAACTCAAATATCAGTACAAAAACCATACGATGAGACAGAATGATAGGTTTATTTTTCCTCTTAATATCAGCGCAGTACTCCCTAGCAAGCATATTCACTTTCCGTTGATCCATGCCCAACTGACAGATGTCCGCCTGTGAGATTATCATCAAGTGAGTTCTTTTCCATTAAGAAAAATCATAACGACCACTAAAATGAAAAGAAATAAGAGGTCATCCAGAGATACAAAATATCAATGAGTCACCTTCAGGAAAAAAATATCGGCACACTGCATACATGGGTAGAAGATTTGAGCAGCTGTCAGCTCATCTTGTTCAGAACGACCCATTATTTGACAGCACCTTCAGTTAACACAAGAAAGAAAAGAAAAAACTAAAGATTCACCCACTACCAATATCTGTATTTTACTGATTACTAAAATTATGTAACCACGAAAGTAAATTTTGAAAGAATTTTCACCTCACTATCCTAGGAAGCTTGTTTCGCCTGGCTATGTCCATTACAAGGGGCCAGTACTCGTGCGCTCTTGAGTTGATCTCCTCGGAAGACCAGAGAAACTCTACCTTACCATCGTCCAGATTCATTCCTACAGCTTTCCATATCTCAATCAAATATTCGCCGACAACTTGGATTTTCTTCAGGTCCCCGCCCATCTTGTTGTTTAACTGAGCAAACCAATCAGCAATCCATATTTTGACTTTGCATCCGGCCGAAGTCAATTTGTTCACATTAATTGCCTTCATAACGCCCTGTACACGAAAAAGTTACTGTGGAAGGTGTTTTGGCTAAAAATGAACAACATGAGCACCCATAATGTTGCATCACAATAAAAAATTAACCTCATTTTAGTGGAAAATCATGAACATTACCGGTTAACATCAAAACTTCCACGATTTAGCATAGCAGTAGTGTAGACAGAGAGACAAAATAACAAATCAAACTGAGAATCCACTGTACTAGGCATGAAAACATTGAAGTACCTGCGCAATATGCATTCTGCCTGATGGCTCAAAGCCATCGTAGCAGATGGGCTCGGGCTTCTTGGACAGAAGATTCAATAACTCGTCTTCCTGAATACATTCTTCTCCAATGCTCCTCACGATTCTAAACCTCTCCTCTGCAGTCATCCTATACAGATACATAACCGAACAAACATTTCAGTTTCCAATCCAAAAAAATTTAAAACTTACTGAAAATCAAGATTCTAAGCTAACCCACTAGCAAGTCCAAGCACAAACACACCATTTTAATCTGTCCGCTTACACAATTGACCAAGATAACAAAGACAATACTACATAAAATTCGTATCAGGTTTCTGAAAACGGAAGAGAATAACTAGATTCTGCACATTCGATTAAAAAATGAATGGACAGAAGGAGACCTGGAGACAGGGACTTACTGAGATGTAGAGGAAATCGAGACGGACGCCATGGCTTCAGATGGAGGGGCAGCTTCATCCATTTCCTGAAACTAGGGATTAGGGCTTAAGAGTGACGAATTTCGGATCGGGATTGAGAAGCTGAGCAGCTGAGAATTGACTGTGCTTGAAGAACAAGAAAGTCACCAAAACCTAAGGGGAATGGAGTTGGGTTTTTGGCGATTTGGGAATTTCAAGCTAAAATTGGTGAACTGGTGAACCGCCGCCGCCGATTGGACATAATCCTTCGGGAGAGAAAGGGAATTACGTAAAGGCGGGCCGAAGTTGGGCTTCCAATAACTTTACATGCGGGCTGATTTATTCAAATAGGCCACAGATATCTTGTAGTCCAATAGACTTGCCACATTCTTCTACTTCGAAGTGAATTCGTGTTATTATGGAGAATGGCAAAGACACTAGAGAAATTGAAATTTATAGTAAAATATTTTTACCCAAAAAAAACTACTTACATTTATTGTATTGTTTTAGTTTTTAATTTAATAACCATCATGGTTGTTATTTAGGACAGAAAGAGCAAAATTTAATGAGAATGGTCAATTAAAGACCATATGTCACGTACCGGAGATCGTTGACATGATCGGAGATGGAGATCGGGAAAAATCATAAGCTATAAGGGAAAAGAGTAATGGTAGATATAAGAAAAAAACCATTAGGAAAATTGACAAGGAATGATGTGTCAACATCTAAACTATACCTTAACCTTGAATATATAAACCCTATTTGGAAAGTTTTAACGGGTGAGATCATTTCCTTATAAATTTTTCTTGTCATTTTTTCTTTGTACATATCATTATTCAAGAGAAAAGAGTAGTGATAAATACGAGGTAAAAATTATAACAAAAATTGACAAGAAATGATGTGTCAACATCAGAATTGAGAATGTTAGAAAAAGGGGAGATTTTGCATATGCAATTCAATACCAAAATTGTTGCATACTCAATTACAAACCTATATATAGTTCAAAACTACAAACTAGCTAGTCCCTACACTATAAAATTGGAGTAATTAAGTGCTTGTTTGGATAACGTTTTGTTTTAGTTTTTGATTTGGATTTGAGAGAAGATTTAAAAGGTAATTTAGTTTTTTATTTAGAAAGTATTATAGTATATTGACCATTTATGAAATTAAAATAGTTCAGCGACCAAAATGATGATTTTATAATAGTATAACGACCAACCCAAGACTTTACAATAGTTCAGTGACCAAACGCAACATTTTACAATAGTTTAGTAACCAAACGTAGTGAAGACTTTATAATAGTTCAGTGACCAAAACGAAGACTTTACAATAGTGTAGTGACCAAACACAACATTTTAAAAAGTAAATTAAAACGTTGTTTGGACGATGTTTTTTTTTCCCATTAAATTTTGTGTTTAAGAGGTAAAATGAGTGAAAATGAAAAATGAGTTATTGGACAAACAAACACTAAGTACTTCGTTAATTCGATGAGACAAATAGAAGTCTCGTAGAGCGTAAACTTTTCCATCTAAGCGAGTCAGCGTGGCATTTAGTACTACTACTAGTACTTCACAATTATTGTATGTTAAAGGAAAAAACATTTTCGTCATCTACTAATGTCGCTTTTCCAAATAAATAAAGGGGGAAAAAAAATTAATGATGAAAAAACCAACTTGAGGTTCCCAAAAGGGGGGCTCCATATGTCTCTGTGTGACATTTGTGCATATCTTTAAAACGAAGCCCATGCTTTCAATGCATCCAGACTTTTTGGGACCAGAAATACCGTATAACACACAATGTACTCGTTCTGCATTCAAATCAAAAAGAGAGGAAGGAAGAAGGCCAAAGCAAGAGAATTAGAAGGGGTCAAAAAACATCAAAATGGTGGGTTTGATGATGGGAAATTATGCGAGCCCATGCCTGTTGTTGTTCATCCAACATTAGCCTCCAATTCCAATCTCCTCATCTTACTATCTCAAATCTTATCCTGTTTTTTTTCTTCCCCCTTCCCTCTGGAAAAAGACTTTATAGACTTGGCCAAATGAATCTTCCCTACCCATCCGTATTTCCACCATTTTTACAATCATCATCACATGTGTTTACACATAAATTTGGTGTTACTAGCTTAAGCGCGGAACTAATCGATAGCATGATACGATCACCTATATATTGTGAAAAGGACTCCGATGATTAAGTCAGTACTTATTAAGACCGATACGGGTAGCAAAATGTTAATGTATAAACAATAACTGCGCACCCCGTGCTTAAGGACCATTACATAATTAAAGGCCGATCTAGTAGTACCCAAAATTAAAAACACGGTCGATACTCGTAAAATGGGAGGGTTGGTAGGCAGTTGATATTGTCTGAAATATTTGGTGTTTCCTGCCATCCCAACACATTGCTTCGTCTTAAAAATAGCATTGAGAACAGATAATCGGGGACCTTATTCCAGGCTACAGAAATGGCCGACAAATGTAGCAGTCATGACTTGAAACTTAATTGACAGAACGACGTTTCAATTCTCTCCTTTATTGCTTTGCAGCAGAGAGGATTTGATCAAAAAGTACGTACATCTTCGTGGGAGATGTTACATAGTATCGTGTTTGCGGCTTGGCCATCCATTTAAAATCCCTCCATTTCTCTTATTAATCAAAACGTCTTTCACTGGATTTCTTGTTGCAAAGGGATGGTGCATGCATATTGATCCACCCACGAAATGTACTCGTTTCACATTTGGAGTTATCTTTTTCTCCCCCTGGATTATGTTTTTTGGTACCCCTAACAGAGATTAACAATATATATATTACGCATCTGGTGTTCGAAGTTATTATTTTAACTAATTCGGGTTCGAGTCGGATAAATTTCTTTCGATTAATAAAACTCTCTCAATAAATATTTTAATCTCTGTTACATGCTCATACCCAAAAGAAAAGATATTACAGATCTAATGAACAATGACATGGTTGAAAATAACCATCTAAGCTCTTTTGAGATGTAATCCTCCGTATCAAAAAAAGAAAAAAAGTTGTTACCTTCTGCTCCTTGATTGCACTAAAAAAAACATATGTTCAAAAGAATCAAAGGGTGGTTTTAATTGCTACCCATATAGTTGGTTGGCATTTTCGTACTTAATGGAAAGTCGTGACCATTTCTTCCTACATCTTTTCCCTCAACTTTTTAGAATGCATGGCCTCTAGCCAGTAGGATTGGAAATTTTGGCATTACAAATTATACGGCAACGAAAGTGATGTGTTCCTTTTCTTAATAAATGGTTCCTATCTTTCTCATGTATCATTCAATCAATTCAATACGTACCATCTCCTTCTTGGGTTCATACAGATCAATAAGGGGTAACTGCCGCTGACACAAAAAAAAAGTTGGTCAGATGCACAACCAAATTTTATCCAGTACTCAGTGATTAATAAATGATGAAGATCAGAAATCAGATATACTACAACTGTAACTATCTACGTCTGCATGGATAAAGATACATGGCGAAAGAGGGAGGCCTCTGATTTTTGCATGACAAAAGAAATGCGACCACCAAGCAAAGGGAGTATATATGGTTTCGGTGAAAGAAATTCATCCATCTTTAACTAAAGTCAGGCGTTTTAATTAATCATGTGTCAGATATTTAACATCGAGTTGTCTATAATTTAATAAGGAGATTAGTCGGCATTACTAATCGAAAATATTTAACCCACAAACACACCACCATGCATATATGTATCACTTTTTATACATGGTGGATCATAGGCATTCATATCCTCCAGCAAATTTGTAAAATTTGAAGGCTCAAAATGTACCAGAGAAAACCAGGCTCCAACTGGCATTCCAGAAGCATTCGGGGGATATGGATAAGTGGGAGTGTGGGGGATTTCATGAGCTGACAAATCAATGTGATATGCCTAACTTTTTTTACTTGCCTAGTCTCCTAAAATTGACCAAATTGGTCCACCTCTTTTTCTGGGAAAAATCCCTGTGAGTCTTTCCCTGGAAACTATAATTCCAGTTCACCATACCCAAAATTTAAAAGGGCTGACCTGATGATGACACTGGGACGCCTCTTTCCGCTGCATTGGCAAAAAAAAAAATTTCATTGAATGTTGTTTGACTGCAGACTTCATTTTCACGTGATTGAGAAATGAAAAAATTAGGTAAGAAGTAATTAGAACATTGGTTGTGTCAAATTGGAAGGTTTCCTTTTTGCTTTTCTTGTGGGAGAGAGGTCGTAGGTTATCATTTATCAAGGTAACAACACACCAAAAGGCTCCAGAATCTAAGTATTACTTTGTTGACTAAGTTAAATTGGAACTATGTGCTGTCCCTCTGAATATGAACTAGTACAAACCCGAGGGGAAAAAAAATCACTGTTTCATTGTTATCTTGAGAAATTCCACGTGGGATCACCTGGACTAATAATAAACTGTTTGGGTTTTTATATTATTACACATTAACGTCCCAATTGACATTATTTATTTTATGTTTTTAAGCAAAAAATGATGATAACGAAATTACTACAAGAATGTAATAAAGAAATTAAAAGCAAGTCAATGGACTATTTTTAGTTCATCCCTGTCTACGTTAAGAATATTACATCGATTAAATCTATTACATTCTTTGGTGAAATAAGTTCTACTTCTACAATATTACACCATCATTTATGATCTGCCTTTTGACATTTTTATAGAGAACAACTTTTTCTATTGATTTGAGTTGAATAGCCTAGTACTAGCCTAGTGCTAGTACTTCATAGACAGGCTTTAACTAGATTTGACCTAAAATCAGGTACTGAATATGGTATAGTATCAACTGTCTCACTAATGAATGATGATGATGATGACGCGTTTTTCATGAATCGCTCACAAGCTTGCACACCATTTTCATCATCAGCTACCTCCAGCAAGTCCAAACTCCACCTCTTAAATTCATAATTTCACACTTTTTTTAAAAAAATATAATAGGATGTCTACCATTAGTAATAATGATTTTGGTTACATTATCCTAGAAGGATATTAGACCCCTTTTTTCTTGGATTGCCTTCAAAGGGCATTTTAAGGAGTGACTGAATCCGCCTTCGGAAGATTTGAGGGGACGAATTTGAAAGATGGGAAGAGCAACTTGGAATAAGAGAAGGACAAGTCATGGATAGAAAATTTGAAATAATTGGAAGGTTTGACATTGTTGATTGCTATTAAGAGGAGGCATTTTGCAAAGAGAAACATAGTTGAGGGGTTTGTTTGCAAACGTCTATAATGTGGGTTAGTAAAACGCTGCAATAGTGCAATATGTAGTGAGTAGTTATAACGTTAGATTGTGAGTTGTTGATATAATAATACATGTAAAACTATACATAGAGAACCGTAATTATCGTATTGCTTTTAGTTTGATATGTTAAATTCATTAGTCAGTAAGTCTTTTTTTTCTTTTTTTTTTCCTTTGATGAAATTTTTATTGAACGTATCATCATTGTTCGACGCATAATATCGTAATTATCCCTGTTACTTCCCTGTTAAAGTTTCTCCGCCCCCACTATAAAAGGTTGCAACGAATCGTAGTAGATGCCCTCTCTGATACTCACGAGCCAGTTGAAATTAACAAAGCTATGGGAATTAAGTGCGGGATTCTTGTATGACTGGCCATAATATTCATGATGATGTTACTCCGCTGTTGTTTTTTTTTTTTTTTGCGCTGTCACTGTTATCCCCCAATAACGGTGATTACTGACCTGTAATTAAAAAGATGGTTCGATTCATCCCACAAGAAATTCACAATCTTTCTTGTGTGTTCACAGTGAATTGTTCAATGAAATTATGATGTTTCCAACTTTTCACTTATCATTTGATGGTGACAACAAATGAATTATAGACAGTTGACAAGGAAAACTATGATGATGATGATGATGATGATCATGATGATATTGAAAGTTATATCTATTAACAAAATTGCCCATTTAAGTTTACAAATGAGCAGAAAGAAATCATCAGCCCACAGGAAGGAAGGAAGAAAGGAGGAGAGAAATTCAACCCAAACTATTTCATTCTTCTAGCTCCCTAATTCCTACATTACACATACATAATGTTGGTTTCTGGTCTCTTTTGATTTTTTTCCTAACCAAAAAAAAAGGTGGATTTTTTCACTACTACTTAAGCTAATTAAAAAAAAGAGACACATTAATAAACCAGGCATTATGAGGCAGCAACTTTCTCAAAGAGGCCAAGTCTATTATCAGCAAGTCTTGACTTGTAAGCAGACATTTTGTACTCAAACCATGTAAACTCTCTGTACAAGCTGTCTTCTTCACCATTCATGAGCAGCGATGGCAATGGAGCTATCTTCTGACTCAAGGGTGGTCCTCCAAAATAAATCATTGAAACCCTTGATTTCAAACTGTTTGCCAATACCCTGTGCCTTACACTTTTGAACCTTCCATTTGTCAAAACCTGCAAACAAAGAAAAACCCATTAATTAAATTAAAAAGGGGAAAGAGATTCCACATTTTCCACCCCAAGTGTGACAAATAAAATATCCCCCTTTCAATGGAGAAAAAAAAAAAAGGAAAGGTGGTTACATATCTAATCTCCCACCCCGGACCCAACACCAAGTCACCAACTATGAAGACTTGGAAGAGAATAAAAAGATTGTGCTGGCCTTCAAATTTTTTTTTTTTTTTTTGGTATAGGAGAGAATTTTGAAAAAGTAAAAGTTTGAATAAATCATCAACAAGAAAGTAAACTCTAAAGAGGATTTTCTTATCCCGTACGCAGCATTTAGCTGAAAGTGACATTGAACTATTGAAAGGGGTTTGATGATAACAGGGGATCATCTTTTGAAGATTCTCTTCCTCTAATATGGTTAAAAACTTGCATGATTTTTTTAGCCCAAATCAATGTTTTAGTCTAATCAAAGATGGAAAGTTCATCCCCCATTTATCCATCCTTGGATTTTCTCCCTCGTGACACCAAAAAAAGTTTGAATTGATATCAAACCTCTTAACTAAAACAGTTTGTATTATACCTGCATTGAGTCGCCAACATTGACAAAGAATGAATTTTGATCAGGCGGAACTGGCAACCAACTCCCGTCTTTCAATGCAATTTGAAGGCCGGATGTGTTGTTAGATCTCAATACAGAGATGATTTGAGGGTCGGTGTGCTCTCCAAACCCAATCAGATTCCGGCCATGCAAATCCGGGTACGGCGGATAGTGATTCACTCTGAAAACAGAGTCACTCTGTTCATGCATCAATAGCTTGCTGAACACATTTTTGGGTTGAATGTTAAGTCCCTCTGCCAACTTTTCAAGAATGTCACAAGCCATTTTCTTCACTGATGCTACATAATCATGTACAGCAGCTCTGCAAACAACAAAATTACAAAAAATATTAGTCCCTAAGTTGAATCAAGTTGACATTTTTGTGTCCCAAAAAAACAAAGGGTAAAAAGATAAAACGTACTGAATCTTTTCAGGGGTTACACCAAAAACGGTCTCAAACTTTTGGAAATTGAATTGAGGATCTAAAAGGATGTATTCCACCCAACCCACGTCACCATTGGGTCCAATTTTCTTGTTACCATAGCCAAAAGGGTTGGCAGGGCCGGCTTTTTCCTTCTCAGATAAAGGCAACGAGAAGAACTTGACAGCTTCAGACTCAAGCCTGGAAATGAATTCAGTCGGAATTCCATGGTTGATGACCTTAAAGAATCCGAATTCCTGGCAAGCCTTTACCAGAAGATGCTTGGCATCAGGCTTAGAGAGGTCTATCAATGGAATACCAGGGAAGAATGTGTTAGTTTTACAAGAATTGTTCTTGACTAAGCCATACTGTTCCATTGCAGGTTTAGATAAGACCACCATTTTTGCCTTTCAATCGGGTTGGTATTTATGATTGCTTGAAAAGAAGAAGAAGAAGAAGAAGAAGAAATAACAAGTTGAAAGATTTTTTAGAAGGGTGATTTGGGTTTCAGGAGAGGGGTGATATGATCAACGAGGGGTAAAAAAAAAGCTCTGTACTTTGTAGTTCTTGGGAAGAGCCAAGGAAAGATGAGCTGTGTGATGAAGTAGGGGCTGAGTATGAATTGAGGCAATTGAACACATGGCTTCAAGCTGCTGCTTCGCTATTTATAGGGATCTTTCGCCCCCAGCCCTGGAGAGAGAAAAAGCCAACACGGTCTTAAAATATCCACATAATTGTTTTCAGGAATTTTTATCTTCCTTTTCATCTTCAATTGTGTAAAACAGTCACGATCCAAATTTCGGGTTATTTATTTAATACTCTAAACATGTTTATTAAAATAAAATAATACTTCTCCCGTCCCGAAATTATTTTCGGATTTGAGATTTCATGTTTAGTTTCATTGTAATAAAAATGAAAATCTAAACTGAACCATCATTTTAAAAACGAGTAAAACTATATGTACATATTGAGTTAAAATTGTGAATGCTTTTCTCAATCTCTCTAGGGACCCTCAAGAGCACTTTTTTTTTTTCCTCAGAGTTAGAAATCTCCTTGTTGACATTGTTATTCATTTTCCGTTCAATATAAAAAATGTGCTGAAGAGACCCGATCTCTTTTAATTACCACTTTCGGCTACAAGTGTTGATCGGAAATTGAAATGGGAGTGAATAATGTGAGAGAAATCGGTGGACAGTTACAAATACGAAATCATAATGCCAAGTGTTATAACATGCAGGAGATACCCAGTTTCTAAAGCAGCAACGTGTTGCAATGACTTCAAAATGAGACCATCTCCCAGTCCCATCCAAAAAATGAAGTAGGAAAAAGGAAATTTGCCTTTCGGTTACATGGTTTTCAAAGTTCTGCCGAGTGAAAAACGTGATATGAACATCTTCTTCTTGTCAGTCAAGCAGAGATTAGCACTTTCTTTCTTTTTTTTCTTTTCCCTTTTTTTCGCCCCTTTTTTTCCTGTTAATTTCCTTCAAATAGTAATAATTGAGGAGAAAAAGAACCTCAGAGAGTTTATGGTGTAATAACTCAGACAGAGCACAACTTGCTGCATAACATAGTATCAGACATGAAACACCATCTAAAGTGTTCTGTTCAATTTCTTCTAAGGGAAAAAACATTTGTGCATTTTGCATGTTCCAGCTTTAATTACTCGATCACAGTTACTCAAACATTCACGTACATCGTAATTTTGTAAAGGGGGTTACATGCAAGTGGATTGTTAACATTGAAGGAGGTTGCCATTCAGTGTGGCAATTCACTTGTTCATTCCAGAAGAGATTATGAGTTCAATTCCCCGTAATAATTCAAAATCAGATTAATTTTTTTTATCCATAGATATCTAAAATAGGCTTCGATGCAAACTCAAGTTACGTATCCTAATTTTGCACTGAGCATGTCAGAGAAAATGATATTCTCTCTGTTATAAAGCTATTGTTCAGTTTGAATTTTTACTTTTAGTTCATTAAAATTAAAAATTCAAATTGAAAATAATTTCGATATGGAAAAAATAACTTTTATACAATTTTACACCGGGCATGTCATTCAGAGGTTACATAGAGTGATTTATCTCCCAAACCATACAATTGTACAGTTGGCGAATCCAAAACTGCACTAATTGCCGCTTTTTCTTGTCCCAACATTATGTAATTGGACTGATTACCAAATTTGAAGATGCTGTGTTCGTTTCACTTGTTCTTTAAGCATTGTTTGACGAGGTTTAATATATTAACTTAATGAGCATCATTAATGCCTAGGGACATAGTAGATCAAAGGGAGGTCAGCACTTTGAAACCATAAACGCCCAAAATAAACAATGAAGGAAAATGCAAGGCGTCTTCAGATAGATTTGAATGATTAAATTAATTTCTTTCTGATAGCTAATGGAGCTAAATAAATCTAATCAGCAAGAAGGTTTAAGCGTATGTCAATATGTATATATGTATGCAGCAGGCCTAACTACTCTTTCTCGCCATTTTAAAGTGATAAATAGTAGTATCACAAATGATAATTGTTTGAGACAAAAATGATTATGATTTTTCGGCAGAAAGGTTCTTCAAATAAGCAAATAATTTGAATGATATGATTATGATTGCAAATTATTATTAGATTTTGCTGTTCTATAAGCTGTCCTTGGCTCCTTGCCCCGTTTCACTCTCACAAAGGCTCTCTCCCCTTAACCGACCATGTGGTGTGGGTCTTCATAACCGTGTGTTTCTTCATATATTTTTCGTTTCTTCTTCTCTCCTAGTTTTTTTTTCTTTTTATATTCTTTCCTACTCGAAGTTATTATTTTAAAATTTCATTTCTAGGTATAATTATAGAAAAAGTGAAAATCTGAAATAGACAATAATATTAAGATATAAAGAATATAAAATAATTCACCTCCTTTTGTTTACCATGATAACTTCAAATAGCACTAGTAAAAATAGTATTCATCATTGTTACTCTTTATTTCTACATAAGAATAAGAGTTGTTATAATCTTTCCCTCTCAAATATTATTGTATAAAAAGAAACTCTATTTCTATCAAAATAACAGCATTTCAAATTGTTGTAGCAATATTTTAGTTCGTAAAAATTGATGTGTGGCTCACCATCAAAACATATAAATGAACGGGAGGAATATTGATAACAAAGAGGTTATTATTTCACGAGACAAAAATACACATTGTAACTATTATCACGAGGAATTTGCGATCAATACATGGAATTAGTGACCTATGAGTAGTAAATTATTGGGGTATGATTTAACATTGTCTATTTAAGGACAACTTCTGCTACAAGCCTCACTCCCTGTCGTTCAAACTCATGTTTTCCAAATGTAGGCTATAAAAAATCACATGGAAATATTTGGGCAGAATTTTGTGCCTATATATTTGACCTTTGGGGGGTCGATAGGATTTTAATTACAACTGGAAGGCAGACTATGGGGATTTGTGACAAGTAAAAATTTGAGCATACAACATATACTTTGAGCACAAGTAATGACAGTGAAAGAGAAAACGACATTATGAACATTTATTTAATAATCTTACACATAAATATTTCTTTTTGTGTGAAAGTACATACCTAATTACTGACAATGTTCCTTCTTAAAAAACTCAAAATTGAGGATGGTTGCATATAATTTAGTTGATGATTGTCCCCATAAGTTGAGACATTAGTTCCCCTCTCATAATTTAGCTTAATTACTTTTGCCTGTGGCTTTTGGAGAAATCACTTTTCTTTCCCCTCCCTTTCTCATTCCACTTTAGGAAAGCTGTTTAAGGATAATTATATCTTAATCCTACATTGTGGGCTTAATCCTAAACACTAAAACGATTAAACTCATTATATATAACAAGTTAAAGAAAAGCTAGGTGCTCAATGCTTCACATTTCAACTGCTTTATCTCTTCAGAGTACTATTTCAAGTATGATTATGTGCTTATAGATAGGCTAAGGGCTCATAATAACGTTTGCACTTTAGAACTAGACCTTTTTTCCCCCCTCGAATGAATGTAAATTTCCTTTTATGAAGTCTTCTTTCGTCTTCAAACTATTGGGGTGGACACTTCCTAATCGAGTGCAAATAGGAGGAAACGTTCACGACAGTAGCCAAATAACTTGCTTTTGTCCCAAATAATTGTGGATGATTTTTGATATTCTCTACTAAGATTATGAGTGATTTCCACCCCCTTTTTTGCTGTGGGGTTCTCTCAAGTAATAGGATAAAGCAGTAATAGTGCTACCTCCATCTGATTTTCATCAGTCACATATTCTTTCTGATCTTTATAATAGATATTTTGATTTGTCCGAAATTTTATTTATTATATTTTTTTAATTAATAAAACTATAAATATGTATTTTCATATTTATTGTGTTTTCTTAATTATTATAAAATATTTTTAAAATTTTATTTTTATTTAGAAAAACATATTAAATGAAACTTATAGAAAACCAAACTGTATTATAATAAAGACAGGTGAAAGTAGTACTTATTATGTGTTAAGAAATGTTGATACTGATAAAATACGTATATTCTATAACATATAATTGATTAGTTAAAGTTAAACATCATCAGTTAGTTTTTAATTCAAATATAAATGAGTAGTTATGATTGCACCACTACTTCAATTTCCATAATAATCATCTTATCGAACTTTTTTTTAGAAGTGATATATGCATAAAAAATTTACAGAAAGTTATGTTCAATTATCAAAACTATACCCTTTTTTCTTTCTTTTTTTTAATAAAAAAATCCACCCAAGTGAACCTCACTTAGATAGGGTAAAATCCCCCCTCAGAAACTCCTTGGTGGGAATCGATCATGATCTATTACCAAGAAAAATAGCACCCTAATCTTAAATACTTAATTGTAAATAAAAAATATTAAAAATGAATAGTTATGATGCATTACATATTAAAATTCCCTCTAAAATTTGCACAACTTTTCTTTAATATTTAGTGTTCATATTCACTGAAAACATACACAATGACGTGAGGACCCAACAATGGCATCTAAATAACACTATGTGAAACATCAGCAGCACTAATCAAAAAACAAAGGCGTGGGTGATCTCATTGCCTGCATATAACATGGCTTTGTAAAATAGTATCCTCAATAAATTAATAACGGCCGTTCTATTCTGATTAAAAAATAATACTAACAAGAATGTCACCCCAATTTTTTTAAATCAATTTTTAATTTCTGAATCATCATCTTCAATTATAGTTTCTGATGGAGGCAGCCATACTGAAAATCAGGAATTGTCTAAATCAGGGCTGAGTAGACAGTCAGTCAGCCCACCTTTTCAGCCTTTGGGGTGATGCAGTGGGGCCCTTCCACGGCCCATGTTTCCCTTTGACCCCACACTCAGTTAGGAATTATAGATTTATTTTTCTTTAAAA